GTAGAAAAAAAAAAATCGGGGCTTTTATTTTTTTGGACGGCTTTTGTAAACTGTTGCTCGGGTTTAGGGAAGCGAGCGGGCAGGCGGGTCGATCGGTAAAATTGGTTGGGTTCAGGGAAGGAGGAGGGCGGGTCGTCCGATTGGCCGGTTGCGCAGTCAATCATCCTGTCAGTCGGACAGCAACCTCTGGTGGGTTCATGCGAGAACAGCGCGGGCGCGAACGGCACTCGCAAGAGGCGTCTGAGGTGCAAAAAAGCGCACAACAGCAGCCTCTCGCGGATTCGCAAAAACTGCAGCCGTACGTACCCGCCGGGACGTATTCCGCAGTCTCCAGAAACGTCCGCAGGACTACGTTTCCACAATGAGCCTGGGTTGCAGAAATGCCAACTGAGCCAAGGTTCGAACCAGCGACCCAGCAACCTTCTTGGTGTGAAGCGACAGCACTACCTACTGCACCACTGCTTCGCCCATGATCAATGGTTCTCTAATGTGTGGTAATGTGCCTGCTTCTCTTAAAAGTGCTGCTATTACTCCAATAAAAAAAGACTGGTTCTGACCAGAACAATCTAAACAACCACTGTCCCATTTCAAATCTCTTTTTTTAGCAAACATCCCTGAATGAGTAGTTCATGCAAATCTCATAGTACAGAAACAGCCTTAGTGGAGGTCACAAATGATCTGCTTCTTGCTGCAGACCCTGTCTGCCGATCAATTACGATTTTTCTTGAACTTAGCGCAGCCTTTGACACAGTGGATCACTCCATATTACTTTCACGAATGAAAACAGTATTTGGTATCACGGACACCGCTCTTAAGTGAGTTATTCCTCTCTAACCGCTCTCAGTTTGTCTACATAGGAGGTATTACGCCCCAAGTCTAGGGGAAACAAAAAGGGCATAATAAACGAAGAAAAAAACAAATGTGTTGGGGTGGTGGATTTCCCAAACTAACCAAAACTTAAAGCAAAAGATTCCCTTCGGTCGACAACCAAACTCACACACTCAATTGAGAGTATATCTAAATATATTTATTATAGAAAAATGGGGGTATTATATATGAGCATTTCGTCAGGGTGACCACAGGCCAAAATAACAAACAAAATAATCTATAAAATAAATCCACTAAATTACCTATTACTATTTAAAGGAAAATACAAAAAAGCTCACCTTACTCCCTAACATAAACAAAGTCAAAAGTAATCAAATAAATAGGCAGGTCACCCCTACACGCTCAAACTCTCAAAAATATTTTAACCTATGCTGGTCATCAATACAATGTTGGTTGTTGGTCTTCGGCCGGAGGGGTGAGGGAAACCCAGGAGCTCCACTCCAAACACCGAACGCACAGAAATGAGCTCTTCGAACCCTGCCGGAAGCTCCTTTTTATACATGCTTTTGCGACCAGCAGCCAATCAGAACAGGGAATCATGCCGGTATGGGAGCCTATGAGACAACAGAAAAATAACAAGGAGGTGGGACAAAATCAAAAGACAGAGTACAATCCGTAATAATAAACAAATAAATAAACTTCAGTCGTAACAGGAGGGCTTAAATCTACCACCAGCCCAGTCAAATTCGGCGTGCCCCAAGGATCGATTTTAAGCCCCCTACTCTTTTCCATGTACATTTTACCACTTGGTCATCTCCTGGGATCCCTGTAGGTCTAAACCCAGTTAGCATATGAATGTGGGCCACTTTAGACAGTTATGCTGGACTCGTGGTTTTCCTTCGGCACAGACAGATTGAATGTGAGCCTGATGTGGCCCACCGGTACAATGGCAAAGGGGGGCCGAAGATTCCAATTCATATGTGGACCATTTAAGGCAAAGATTTGGCACTTATGGCAAAATATAATCTGAATGTGAGCCCAATGATAAATTTAAACCAGTGACCTTTTTGCTGAGGCCACACACTGTAAAAAATAAATTGTTGAGGCAACTTGATGCAGTAAGAACTTTGAGCTGTCTCAACAACTATTTTTTAGTTCTTCTCAGTAACAATATTTTGTTCAGCTGACATAATTTTGTTCATTCATGCAATGTTGATTATTGCATTTTACAAATAAAGATATTCTTGTCACATCAACTAAAGCAACAGTTACTGCTATTGGGTCAATACATTTTTTTCTGTTTAGTGGATGGTTTTATTTTCATATTTGCTAAATAAGTAATTAGTTGTTGTTAGCATATCATCCTATTTTTAATCATTTTACTTAAAAATGAACAAACTTACTACTTCATCCATTCATTCCTTCGGCTTAGTCCCTTTATTCATCGGGGGTCACCACGGTGGAAGGAACCACCAACTTATTCAGCATATTTTTTACACAGCCGATGCCCTTCCCACTGCAACACAGTACTGGCAAACGTGCATTCACACACAGACAACTGTGGTGGAAACCGGAGCACCCGGAGGAAACACACGTGAACATAGGGATGCCAGCTGACCCGGACGGGTCTCGAACCAGCAACCTTCTTGCTGGGATGCGACTGTGCTACCAATTGCACCACTGTGTCACCCCTCTTTCAAGCAACAGATAAACAAGCTTAGTTTGCGATCGTCACATCACGCATGCCCAAATGATTCAAATATCAACATTCCTATTCAACACAAAAATGTTTGTCCAGAAAACTCAGTTAAACATGTAGACATAACATTTTAGCGCATATTGTTGACATGACAGATATTTTTGTGTAATCAATTCTTATTCACAATTCTTAGTATATATGACAGAAAAAGAACAGTGTGTTGAACAAATGCTGATTGTTTTTTACAGTGCAGTGCTGACCACTGAACCACTGTGTGCACAATTGTGATATATGTTGTCACTGAAGTAAAAAAACTTAGCTATTTGTTTGTTCATTTTAAAATACATTTGAATTTATTTTTGCCAAACCCTGCACACACACTCACACACTTACACACTCGCTCACATTATAGAAACGCCTGGTCACTGCTGCTGTTCTGATTCCTCTCACGGATCTGCTGTGCTCAGGATGTTCTGTTCTCCAGTTCTCCATCATACACACACACACACACACACACACACACACAGACACACACACACACACACACACACACACGTGTGCAGGAAGTTTGTGCAAAAGTGTCTGAATCAAAACAAAGAGCTGCAAATGAAGACAAACAGTGAATGTGA